ATTGGATGACTAACAGAAGATTCCAAAGGATTCTACGGATGGCTCCCTGGGGAGCATTGGAAATAGGAATGTAGTTTGCAACTCAAATATTCTTTGTCTGAGTTACTTAGAGGAGGGCTTTCAAACTCGATTTCATTGAGGGCCACATCAGCGTTGTGTCTGGAGGGGATGGGGTGGGCGTGGCCAGCTCGACATCAGGACTTCCTCCAGACCCTCCCTCATTCTCATTATAATCTTCCTTCCTTCCTTCCTTCCTTCCTTCCTTCCTCCCTTCCTTCCTTCCTTCCTTCCCTCCCTCCCTTGTTTTTTCTTCCTTGCTCTCTTCCCATCTTCCCTTCCTTGTCTTTCTCTTCCCTCTTTCCCTTTCTCCTTTTCTGTCCCTTCTTGTATGCTCAAATGCAAAAGGGGAAACATTTCTTTTTGTTTTGTTTTGAGAGCCCTCTGCCAGTGAAAACGGAGCCTGGGGGGTGGGCCTGAGCGGGAGGCCCCTGGATCCCATCTTCAGCCACAACGTCCTCCTGCATTCGTCTCCATTTTTGCTGGCAGAGGCACCATGGGCCGGTCCTTCGCTGTTTCCAGGGCAGCTTTGCAGGCCAGCTCTAGGCAACCCTGCAGGCCGAATGTGGCCCACGGGCCTTGAGTTTAACACCCCTGACTCTTAGAGAATTCAGAGGCGGTAAAAATATTCCATATGCCAACATAAAAATACTTACTTGAATTTTTTAGTTGCCAGCAGAAAGGGGTGGGGTGGTGGTGGGGAAAGCAGTGCATTCCTTACATGCCTCAGATAATCGCTTTGGCAACCGAAGCTTCTGGCGTGCAAAATTATTACTGGAGAGTATGATTGATGACTTTTGGCTATGGATGTGTCTCATTGGAGAATGTACATCCAGGGGATGCGGGGGAGACCAGAGTCCAGGGTGAAATGAATGATGTGTCAGAATCGGCTGCAACCAGGAAACACTGACATGTCAACTCTTAATAGATAGATCAACCTTTTTTACTCTGAGAGATGTGGCTAGAGACTTATGATTTGAATGGGAGTGCATGTTGGAGTCCTGACAACATAAATCTGGGGACACAATATTAGACAATATCATGAAATAACCTAAAGATTTGTAGGAAGAGATCAAGAGCAAGATCACACGAAGTGTTAATGCCACTTTATAAGGCCCTGGTAAGACCACATTTTGAACATGGCATCCAGTTTTGGTCGCCATGATGTAAAAAAGATGCTGAGACACTAGAAAGAGTGCAGTGAAGAGCAACAAAGACGATAAGGGAGCTGGAAACTAAAACACACGACAGTTGCAGGAATTGGGTAATGTCTAGTTTCACGGTATAGAGTCTCTCCTACTCTTATTCTATTCTGTTCTTTTCTCTACACCTGCTAAAAAAAATCAATGGATTTTTTTTTTTTGAAGGGAGGTGGAAAAAGGAGGAATGTGAATGAGACTGATAAAAAATGCTCCCAGTCTCAGAGAGAGTAGATATTGAATATATCAAAACGCTGAATATATTTAAAGGGATGTGTTTATTTTGTTGATAACCTCATTGGAAGGATGTCTTCCCTTCAGATAGATAATCATGAATAAAAATGGTTCTTCTGTCACTCCAAGAAGCCAATATTATACTATGATTAAAAGTCGCAAATTTGAATTTTGGGGTAAATGGTAAAATTCTCCTGCTGTATAACCTTTTAGAAAGATGAAAGGACTTTGCAAGAGGGAAACAAACTAGTGATTTCTGATTTTGCGTGGAAGCATCCCCATTATACAAATATTGTACATTTCAGCTGTGTGTAGTTCCACTCTACAGAGATTAAGGGAAATGTGGCATAGCAGTTAAAACAGAAATTACTACAGCAAGATGGAGCAGAAAAAAAAAAAAAAACCACTTAAAAAGGGCGTTCCACATGCATTATTTAGCAGATGGCTCTATAAAATATTTACTAGCAAGGTAAACACAAATACACACAAAGATAAACAACAACCTCCAAATATATATCTATACATATATGCAAATCCACAAGCAAAATCTGGAAAAGTGCAATCTTTTGCAAACCAAGACTATCATATGGGCCCAAATGAGAAGGTCCATTCATAGCAGACCCTGTAAAGAAAAGGGTTGTCTAGCCTTAAAAACTCACAATGCAATACAAACAGAAACAGCCAACCAAGAACAATCTGCAAATAGTGGATACCGGCTCACATTTACGACAGTTTCTTGCATTCACATGATCAGGCAAAATAGCACAAGCAAAATGAATGGGGGAAAGGCGGATTCGCTTAACAACTATGTGATCTGCTTATTGACCGTGGTAAAAATGGTTGTAAAATTGGGTCTGGTCACTTAATGACTGCGTTGCTTAGCAACCAAAATTCCGGTCCCAATTATGGTTGTAAGTCAAGGACAAGAGAATAATAAGGAACATTCTGGGTGTGTCTCTGTGCTAAAGGTTATGACAAGAGAGCAATTCGCTATTGCCTTCAAGCCAACAAATGTTTTGTGAGACATCAACGGTAAATTTTGGCCTCAGTTGTAGTTGTTACTTGAGTGGTACGGTGGCCTACAGGTGGTGCTCTTGCTTCACAATCAGGAGGCTGTGAGTTCGATCCTTGGTAAAGGCAGATATTTCTTTCTCTGGGCGCACTGAGAATATATACGTTAAAAAAAAAGACCTCCTCATTGCAGACAAGAAGGGCATCCGGCCAGTAAACACTGAGCTCCATTCAGTTGCCCAGACTGCAATCCCACAAGGTTGTTAAAAGAGTTTGAAAGAGTTATAGCTGTTATTTGAGAATTTCCTATACACTAAAAGACTATGAGAGCCTTGCTCACAGAAGTGTTTTCTGCAAGAAAAGAAAACAAGAAATATTGGACCATCTGAGAGATTTGATTTTGGCATGTTGAAAATAAATAAATGGTCCGAGCCAGGGAAATGGAAGGGAATTATGTAAATTGGATCATTAGATCTATGTGATCAGATTCCTAGCTCATAAATATGATACTCTATTTTGGACGGATAAGAAGAGATAGAATAGAGACAGATGGTTCATTTGAGAGATAAACTTATGACAAGCCCTTCTGGCTTTCATGGCATTTCTCCATGAAGGAGAAAAAAAAAATTCATCTTCAGGATTTAATTATCTAAATGGCTACGAGATAGCAGGCCAGAGACTCAGAAAATTTGTTGCCATATGGTTTGGTAGTCCTCCGTTTGTGGAAAAGGGGGAGGATGAACTATTGAGGGAACTGCCTCTGGAGATTCTCAGACATCCAGGGAGCAAATGGGCTTTCTTCTTTTACTCTGAAGATGTTTCACTTCTCATCCAAGAAGCTTCTTCAGCTCTGACTGGATGGTGGAGGATGGAAGGGTTTATATTCCTTGCAGACAACTGGTCATTTGCATTCTTTTAGAGAGTCGTTGAGGCCACTTGGAGATTTGTCTATGTCCTCAGGGTCACCTGAATAGGGCAAATGGATGTGGAGACTTCTTGACTGCAGGGTGTTTTCTGCTCTGTCCCTTCACTATTGCCCTCCTCAGGTGACCCTGAGGACATAAACAAATCTCCAAATGGCCTCAACGACCCTCTAAAAGGATGCAAATGACCAGTTGTCTGCAAGGAATATAAATCCTTCCATTCCCCACCATCCAGTCAGAGCTGAAGAAGCTTCTTGGATGAGAAGTGATATGTCTTCAAAAGAAAAACCAGAAAGTCCACCTGCCCCCTGAAAAAAGCACCTTTTGGACATATTGAGAGATCTAGGTACAGTATGTCTTGTCTAATGAAGAGGAGGATTGGGATGATACGATTGCAGTCTTCCACTATTTGAAGGTGATCACCTTTGGTGACCTTCTGATGAGAAAAGTCAATGGGGAAGCCAGATTCACTTAACAACGGTGCTACTAACTGAACAACTGCACTGATTCACTTAACAACGGCAGCAAGAAAGGTCGTAAAATGGGACAAAAGTCACTTAACTATCTCATTTAGCAATGGAAATCTGGAGTTGCACCTCATACAACGAAATTAAATGCCATCTTCAGTGTACATTATAACGATAAAAATAAAACAAAAACACGCATCCTTCACGTTCTATACAATTAAATTGAAAACCCCTGATATTGCATTAATATTGTACGATACAGTAGAATTCAGTATAATTAGTACTCTGAGATAGAAGTTGTTTTTCAGCCTATTTGTCCTTGTTTTTATTGTCCTGTACCGTCTGCCAGATAGTAATACTTCAAAAAAAATAAATAAAAGGATTCCCAGGATGAGATGGATCTTTGAGAATGTTTTGAACTTTCTTAATGCAGCGGGAGCTCTAAAGCTCTTCCAAAGAGAGCAACCACTGATCCTCTGGACAATGATAATAACCCTCTGGAGTGCTGCTCTATCTGCCCCTGTGCAATTGGCAAACCATACACAGGTGCAGGAAGTTAAGATACTCTGTGGTGCAGCGGTAGAAGGTCACCAGCAGTTTCTCATTCAGTTGTTTCCTGAGAAATCTCAGGTAGTATAATTTCTGCTGAGCCCTTTTGACCAGTGCTGCAATGTGAGCATCCCCAGGTCACGTCCTCTTTTATGTTAACACCCAGAAACTTAAAACTGGCCACTTGCTCCACTCGGTCTCCATTGATAAGCAAGGGTTGGATGTCTGATCTGTTCCTTCTATAGCCCACTATAAGCTCCTTGGTCTTATTAGTGTTAAGGACCAAGGTATTGTCTCCACACCAAGAAAGCTCAATTGTCGTAAATTTAGGGCCACCTGTATATATTTTTCTGCTGGAAAATCCAACTGATGTCCCGCCTGTTGGGTCCCAGTTCAGTACCAATAACAGCAGCTTCAAAGATAATGACCCCCTTACGAGTTCTTCACACAACAGCTTGAGTCTCTATCCTTGACATTTGTCACTTTGAGCTTACAATATGCTCACAGCCACAAAAGGGAGAATTACATTTCTTACTGTAGGGGAAAAAAAAACAAACCACATATGGTATAGCTAAGGTGACATAGGCCAATCAAATCCCCAAACCTTCCTAGGTATTTCATTAATAATTGACAGGGCATTAATTAAAAATTAAAACTTGCAAAAATACTTGAAGCTCAACACCACAGGTGCAGCTGCCAAAGAAATCAACCAGAATGAAGAGTCCGGTTTCCTGGAAAACGTTTTTTAAAAAAACGCACTGGAGGCCTAACAGATGTTGAAGGACATAACACAAAAAAAGAGGTGACACGAAAGACACTTAGGACTCTGGATTGTTATAGTCAGGTTTGGAAAGGTAAGAAAAGTCAGCGGCATAAAGGACACATTTTGAAGGACAGCAGAATACAGAGAGAAGAGAATTTTTGTAGCGCAGGGTTGAGTTGGAGGATCTCTGGTCTCAGAGCTTGGTTGTTTTCTTGCGGACGTTTCATTACCACAGTAGGTATCATCATCAGTACTGAAAGGAGTGGGGTTTAATCACTTTTTATATACTAGTAACTTGCAATTGTTTCAGGGGTGGTATTCTATTGGTTCAGCCCGGTTCGACTGGCCCGGTAGCTCCGAGGATCAGCTGTTGGAACCTCCTCTTCCACCTCTATTCTTCCCTGGTTTTCAAGCTCACTTGCTTCACGCAGCAAAATGGATTGCCGCAGATCAGCTGTTTAACACACAGGGAGAGTACAAGATTGCAGGAGAAGGTCAGTAGCAAACCCTCTGCACATGCGCAAAGCAGGCGCTCACCAAACCGGTTGTTACACCAGTTAATCACACCCCTGGTGTCGCGACCACAGAATTCTTCCCCCTTCGCGACAGACCTGACTCTTGTTTTGTGCTGGCTGTGGTGCCGACCCAATCGTATTCGGGTTGCCTCGTGCTGCCGGGGAATCGATGCTCGGCGCTGCTACTCTTCGCTGCTTAGGTGCCGAGTGTGAGGAATGGCTGATCCTCATGACACGCAACAATCCATGAATGGAATACATGAAAAACCCAGCAGGGAGTTGAAGGACATTGAATGCCAAAACGGAGCCTGGATCCACACAACATGAGTGGTGGGTTGATGATGGCCCGGTGCTATTTATGGTGGTTATGAGTTATGGGGCTGACAATGGATTAACCATGTTAATAGAATACGAGGTTTACTCAGATACCATGTTGGTAGTAATTGTGAATGGCAGCAGTGTAACCGGATGGTGGCTGGGGTAATGGGATAATAGTTTAATTATTACCTACTGTATAAATATAGTGCATTTACAACTCAGAGTTGACTTTATACTACTACAATGCTCAGTTGTTACTTGATGTCACTGTGTGGAGGGATATTAAAAAACTTCATTACCTGCTTGGCATGAGTAGTCCTTTCATAGCAGCAGACTCTAAAGAATGGCTGAGGCCTGGAATTGTTCCTCGGTGATTCCAATCCCTTCTAGTACATCAACTTGGATTTGTTCCTACTTCTTTCTAGCACTGATGACCTTATCTAGTTGGGTAGTGAAATGTCTTCAAGAAAACAACCAAGATCAGAGAGCACTAGGGACCTATAGGACACGTGAGAATGTGCACCACCCCTTCTGGATCACTACTTCTGAGTCTTTACACATTCTAGGGCAGGGGATGCCAACCTTTTGGACCTCAGGGACCACCAAACTCATAATTTTAGATCCCAGGGACCACTAACTGGCTCTGTGGGCGTGGCCTAATTTGTGGGTGTGGCTTGGTGGTCATGTGACTGGCTGGGCATGTCTTGTATGTAAATATTATAAATATTTATATAAATATTGATTTTTTTGTAAAAAAAAAAGAGCAACTTTTACCCAAAATCAGGCAAGGTAGGCAGGCAGATTGAGTTGCTCACAGAATCTCAGATTCATTTAGAATTATATCTATCTGCCATTGGCTAGCTCAGTCTGTCACATAAAATTTGCTTGCAAGCAAACTCACAAAATTAACTCACAACACACCACATATGTAAATATTGAATTTTTTATTAAAAAAGCAACTTTTACCCAAAATCAGGCAAAGCAGGCAGATTGAGTTGCTCACAGAATCATTCAGTGATCTATCTATCTGACATCAGCTAGCTCAGTCTCTCAAATTTGCTTGCCATGAGTCTGCACTGAATTTGCTTGCAAGCAAACCTTCAGTCCTAAGGAAGGTTCGGCTGTGCTTAGCTAAAAGCAAGAAATCCAACCATTTCCTGCTTCCTAGCTAATCTAAATCTCCTGGCACAGCTGATGGCAGAACAGCTGATGGTCGGAAAAAGGAAAAATACCAACTTAGCAGACAAGTTTACCGGTTAAGGAGTGAGTGGGCGGGGAGGGTTCCCACGGGCCATGTGGGCTGAGCAGCCTTCTGTTTCTGCGCAGCCTGGATTAATTGCTTTGGGGGACAGGGTGCTCTGGGGGTGAGATTTCTCTGCAGCCCACCAAAATTTTCTCATGGCCCACCAGTGGGCTGCAGCCCACCAGTTGGTGACCGCTGTTCTAGGGAAGCTCCATATTCTACTTTTCATCTAACAGGTTAAAAAAAAATAAGGTGTCCCACATCTGCAGGGAACAATTAATTAATTTTAAAAGGGGTATCATAAAAATATTGTCTGCATGGCAGCACCAAGCCAGCCTTGGCTGATATGGACATGCAAAACAGTAATGGATTTAATTAGAATTCAGATGGGAGAATATTAAAAAAAAAAAAAACCTACCAAAGGAGACATTCCCCACCAACTTCCATAATACTGCTAAAAAACCCAACTTGGAATGTATTACAGATACAGATTAACAGAGCTGGAAGGGACCTTGTAAATCATCTAGTCCAACCCACCACCCCAAGCAGGAAACCCCACACCATTTCTGACAGATGACAGTCCAGTCTCTTCTTGAAAGCTTCCAGTGATGAAGCTCCCACAACTTCTGAAGGCAACTTCTGTTCCATGGGTTGATTGCTGTCACTGTCAGAAAAATTCTCCTTATTTCCAGGTTCCATCCATTATTCCTTATCTGGCCTTCAGGTGCTTTGGAAAATAGCTTGACCCCCTTCCTCTCTGTGGCAGCCCCTCAAATATTGGAAGACTGCTTTCCTGTCTCCCCTGGTCTTTCTCTTCACTAGACTAGCCATGCCCAGTTCCTGCAACCGTTCATCGTATGTTTTAGCCTTCAGTCCCCTAATCATCTTGGTTGCTCTTCTCGGCACTCTTTCTAGAGTCTCAACATCTATTTTTATAACAATGCGGTATTCTAGGTGTGGTCTTACTAAGGCTTTATAGACTGGTATTAATACCCCACTTGATCTTGATTGTATCTCTCTGTTAATGCAACTTAGATTGCATGGGTATTTTTGACTGCTATTAAGCCTCGTTTCACCCAGTCTATATGCATACTTTTGGGTTTTACCTAAGTGTAAGACTTTACTTTTCTCTACATTAAATTTCATTTTGTTAGATAGGGCCCAGTGTTCAAGTCTGTCAAGACCTAACTAGATCTTGAGCCTATCATCTAGGGTGTTGGCTATTCCTGCCAGTTTAAAATTATCCACAATTTGGTAATTCATGTAGACCTGTTCTGACCCAGCCAGGTTCCCAAAGAGCAAACACAAATAAACTCAGTAACTCAAACTTTCAAGGCTTTAATCTACAAATAAACCTCTTTGTAAATAACAAATGGCTTGCAGCCAATTAGTCCAATTAGAAAAACCTTGGCAGAAGTCTTCAAATAAACCAGAGTCTTTAATCACAATGCTGAGTCCTTCAAATGTTTTTTTACAAAGGCAAAAAACGTTTGAAACCAGGCTTATATTCCCTGGAGGGAGGGGCCATTAATTAGCATTCTTATTCCCGAGTTGCCTGTGCTGCTCTTCTATGAATCATCCTGCACTCACTTGCACTTAGCACAGGCTCCTCGGGAACCTCCTCCTCATTGCTACTGGCTAACCACAACAAGACCATTCACAGTAAGCCAAGATGGGCAGAAGCCATCAAACTGAATTGGGATGCTCTTTAAAAAAAGGCCAGCCATGGCTAATTCTTGAAGCATAAAAGCATCCAAGAATTGCAGGTAAACTATTAAGTTAAAAGAAGAAACTGGGAGAAATGCAATTCCCAACTATCTAGAGCTGAGATGTCCAACTTTGGTTACATTAAGACTTGTGAACTCTGGCTGGGGAATTCTTGGAGTTGAAGTCCACAAGTCTTGAAGTGGCCAAGGTTGGACTCCAGTGATCTAGAGCAGTGGTGATATTCAGCAGGTTCTGACCAGTTCTAGTGAACTGATAGCGGAAATTTTGAGTAGTTCAGAGAACTGGCAAATACCACCTCTGACTGGCTCTGCCCCCATCTCTTCTCTGCCTCCCGAGTCCCAGCTGATTGGCTGGGTCTTCTTTTGTTGCCCTGCACAGGAGAACGGAATTGGAAAGCAGGTTAGTGGGGTGGGGAGGGAATGGGGATTTTGCAGTAACCTTCCCCAGGAGTGGGAAGCAGAATGGGGATTTTACAAGATCCTTCCCCTGCTATGCCCACCAAGCCACGCCCACCAAGCCATGCCCACAGAACTAGTAGTAAAATTGTTTGAATCCCACCACTGATCTAGAGGTTCACTGATGGAAAAGCATTTGCACATTCCCAGTACTGTAGTAATAATAATTTCAACAAAGATTATCTGATTTTGCTAGGCGTTTTTTCTGAGCTTGGCCAGGGTTGGCTACGGGATCCTGAATACAACATCTTACAAAGGTAGCCTATAGATATATCCTCAGATCCGTTCACCCTTTCCCACACGTCATGGACAACCACACGTCCATGATAACACTGGAAGTTATTACCACCCAAAGCCCCAAAACCTTTTTCTTTTAAACAACTCCAGCCAGCACGACCGCAGCTAAACACTAATCATCGTTCCCTTTTGAAATCCAGCATGTTGCACTGGATTCTGTCAACTGTCATTTCTGATTTAAGATGCCACGGTTTGCAGATTTGCCAGCCCTCATGCAATTTCACTCTCTGGAGAAACAATCGAATTTGCATCTCAGGTTAATAGAAAGTCAGTGCAAAACAATTAACAATAGGGAAGGAGATTTTTTTTTTTTTTTTGCACCAGATTGCTTTATGACTTTTGGGCTCTGAATTAATATAAATCTCCGGTTAGAATCTATCCACCAATCTCTCTGTTCTGATTGAGCTGCAAAGTAAAAGTAATAACATTGTGAATATATCAGATAAAAATAAGTGCATGTGTTCCTTCAATCCTTTGCAAGAACCCTGTATTAGCAAAAAAATATATATGTTAAAATAGTTAATTTATTTGGTTAACTGGAGGGAACTGTTTAAATGGCATGTAGGAATTCAGTATTATAGAAAGTGGGAAATACAAAGGTATAGGGACCAGGGTAAACAAGCAAATTGTTTGATTTAGGTTAAGGCACCAGGCTAGAAACAAGGAGACTGTGAGTTTTAGTTTCACCTTAGACATGAAAGCCTGTTGGGTGATTTTGGGACAATCAGGGTGAGTTCTAATCCTGCCTTAGGCGTGAAAGTTGTCTGGGCGACTTTGGACCACTCTCTAGGAGATGGTGAGTTCTAGTCATGACTTAGACATGGAAGTTAAGTGGTTGACCTTGGGCCAATCATCAGGAGACGGTGAGTTCTAGT